TGTGCAGTAATAAAAATTTTTTTCTTTCTATCGTTTCAAGTTTTAAATTTATAAACATACAATCAATAAAATTCAAAAACATTTTCAGAAATTAACATAATCATGATGAAATAACCAGTTTCTGAAAAATATTGAAGAGAAAATCGTGCATTTCTTGTAATTTAGAACGGCAATCGATACGGAACAGAAAAAATCTCTTTTTAAAAGATAGAAAATTAAGCACTTTTTACAATCCCCAAATTAAAAAAAAAGAGCACCATTAAGCACTTTTTAAAAATTCTACGCACTCTGTATAAATTAATATATGTTAAACAAATATATCATATTAATTAAATTCAATTATAAAACTCTGTAAGACACCTCGTTCCAAAATTTATATACATAATTTAGATCATAATAAGTCATAGAGGATATGTTCAGTAACGAAATACTCTTAATGCATAATTTTAGAATATTTTTCAAATGTGAAATTATAAAAAAAAAGGTAGCACATCAAATTAATATTTAAACGAGGAAAACACAAGGTAAAAAATGTAATAAATAAAAACTGAGAAAGGCAAAATTGAAAACATCAAAACCTGTTAGATTTATGCGGAGAATAAAGAGATACTGCTAATAATCACTACCCCCCGCCTCCGCTGGTAATCAAACAATTTTTATATCTTCAGTCCCCTTTTTGCAATAGCGATTTGTTAGATTTCCATAGTGTTTGTGTTAGGGCTGCCATTCAAATTTGGGAAAAAAGAAATTCTCTGTACATATTATAAACTTACATTTTAGATTTTCAAATTCATGACTTTTCATGACTAATTCCAAGAACTTTTCATGACATAAGTTACTATTTTCTCCGACAAAAACAGAATAATAAATTTAAAAAGCATTATAATAACATTAATTAAAACAATAGGTATAAGCAAAACTGTTACACTCGGCATCTTCATATTTATAGATTTTAAATTTAAGAAACAGAGTAAAGAAAGAGTTGAAGCAATAAAATAGCTGAGCAAATAATTTTTTCTTTTTTTTTTCTGCAGAATTACATTCTAAATATACTTTTCTTGTTCAAAATTTGCCAATGACTGGCTTGCCAGCTAGAATTTTAAATTGATAAAATAAATAATAATAATAATTCTGAAATCACAGAAGTTTAAAAGATACTTCAGTCTAGAAATGATGTTTTTTCTTTTATTTTTTGAAAGAACACCATAATTTTTAAAGAACAGGATAAAAACTTTTTATATTTTAATAAAATATGACTCTGAGTGGGGATTTTGTTACAAATTCAGATAATCACCATGAAATTGGGGGGGGGGGGGNAAATTTTTCGGCAACCTAAATCCATGATTTTTTTAAAAAAAATAGTTAAAATCATGACATTTCATGACAAATTTTGTTCAATACCAAAATTCATGACTTTACAGGTGCGCGCATACCCTGTATATATTAAAAGGAAAAACACAATAACTGTGCTCTTGTATGAGCTGTATTGAGCAAACTATACTAGTTATAATTTCTGAAAAAGTTTAAGAGAAAAAAAGGAACAGCTGAACATACCTAAAACAAATAATGATTTTGTGTAAATGAAATAGTTTAATATGGCTAAAATATCATTCTTAAGTATCCCAATCTGAGTGGTTACCACTTTTTAATAGACGAAAATAAGGAACAAAATTCCCTGAAGAAACATTTTTCTAGTTTCGAAAGAAAAACTCAAAATTCCCTGTTATTTTAGGTGCTTTTTAAATTCCCTGTTATTTTAGGTGCTTTTTAAATTCCCTGTATTTTTTAGGTTTTTCCTGTGGAGTGGCAACCCTGCTGTGTTTTTCTCTAACTGAAAAGTTTGCAACCAATTATGTGTTTTTATTTAAAAATTAAGGATTTTGAAAACATATACCATATATTACAAAAGACTCAGTGCACATGTTAATATTGAGTAGATGTCATCAGGTGGATAACAAGATACAGTATTTTTTTTAAAATTAATATTTCTCTATATCAGGGGTGTCCAACTGGCGGCCCACGAAGCTTTTTTTATATATTAGTTGTCATTTTTTGGGGTTAATTTTCGTAAAAAAACTGTATGGTAAGAACTCCACTCGTTAATAAAAACGTAATTTCTTCATTTAATTAAACATACCAACGGTGCAAAAAAATTTATTTCTCAGGTTTTGTATCCACGAAAATATTTATTCAGATACCAAAATAATAGTGTATGTTGTTCTTTTTTAATTCATTTTTTTTGTATTTTGTGAATATAATTTAGCATGTGCGTATCAGAAATTTTCTTGAAAAAATTCTCCGATTTAACTTTTTCAAACCACTCATTTTGGACGAAAATGTTTACACACACATTTGTAAATTTTTAATTTAAAATATAAATATCTATTCTCTGGTGGTTGTAGCAGACAAACCTCAATTTTTTCATTGAATATTTCGTGTGCTACTATGTAAGTTTTAATACCAACATTTTTAAAGTTTTATATCTTAACAATTAGATATCTGTTGCACATTAATTGTTTAATACATAGGTGCACATTAAAGTTATTGTAGACCGAATTTTTATTTTTTATTTAATATTTTTAAAAATATTATTAACAACAATGAAATATTTTTAAAAAATCTACTTATTTTAATTTGTAATTCAATACTTTTGTTTTGCACAACTTGGTAAAAATCTGACAGTAATATTAAATGTTCCTTCAAACATAAAATAGTCCTTTATAAAATTTTGATAAAGTTGTGGCCCGCCAATTGATTTGTGTTTTTAAGTGTGGCCCCCGGCCTCATGTAAGTTGGAAACCCCTGCTCTATATATACAAATATATTAGAAAAAAAAGTGGCCATAACAGAGCAATTTGTAAATGTTAAGAGTAAATTAAAACTGAAAAATGTGATATTTTGGATGGTTCCAAAAAGCTTATCCTAACTCTGTTCTTAGGATTTTATTCCACATGAAATCTATGGGTTAGTGGCATCCTCACGTCTTTTTAAACAAAAATCCTTCCCAAGTAACATTAAATACAAAAGAATAAACAAATTAATATACTAAATAATTGTACACAAATAACTGCTGATATACTTTGACTAATAAAACAAGAAACAAAAAAATCATATTCACTGTCAACAGTGTTTGTATTTAATAATACAACCTAGAACAATAATTTTATAAGATTCACTGCAGTGTATCATACAGTCTATAAATCTAGAGTTACAAAAAAAAGTGAAACCTCCAGGAACAACCACTACTGTTTACAGGGTATCTGATGCATTTTAGATTTTCCAATTCATGACTTTCCATGACTATTTTTAAGAATTTTTCATGATGAAGTTACTATTTTCACCTACAAAAAATTTAAAAAAGCAATATGCAGGGATGAGATTGGTCAAAAGGCAAAAAAGCTGAATTTTAACGCGAGTAAATCTTACGTGATTTATAGCAAAAATATCCGTAACATATTCTCATTCAGTTTCGCTGATGTTGTAATGCTTATATATATACACCAATAATCGTTGATAGAAAAACTGCCTTATAGTAACCAATTCAAGAAAAAAAACTTACTTCTTACAAGAATCGCAATGAAGGATTTTAAAATCAAGAGAATACAAATAGCGATCTTGGATTTTAAAATCGCGTAAATATGAATTGCGTGAATACGAATCCAAATTTATAAATCACGTGTAAATACAAAAATCGATGTTACAACCGCAAAAACGAATCACGACATTGGATTTTTAAATCTCGTAAATAAGAATTGCAATGTACAATATTGAAATCGCGAGAATGAGAATCACAACGCGCAACTTTTAAATCAGCTTAATACGAAAAACGATGTTTGATATTAAAATGCAGCAACGTCTGGATTAAGAAAATACGAGCTATTAAGCGGAAGGGTAAAAAAGCAGAAAATCTTGTTGTCCGCGCGTAAAAGCGGAGAAAACCGCTAAAATAAGTAAAAATGTGGAAGGGTTGGCAGCTACGTAGTTTGAACTTTCTGTTTATCTTTGAAAATTAGAAATAAATAATTATTTTATTTCAACTACTGAATTTTCAGAAAAGCGGAATTTTTTATTAAAAAAAAAAAAAAAAAAAAAAAAAAAAAAAAAAAAAAAAAAAAAAAAAAAANGAATCGGAGTTTTTGGATAAAAAGGCTGAAATTCGAGAGACAAACGTGAAAAAAAAACGGAAATCCACTAAAAAGCGGAAAAATCTCATCCCTGAATATGATAACATTAATTGAAATGATAGGCATAACCAAAATTGTTATACTCAGCATCTTTGTATTTATTGATATTAAATTTTGAAAAACAGATTAAAGAAAGAGTTGAAGCAATAAAATAGCTGGGGGGAAAAAAAACAAAGCAAAAAAAAATTTTCTGCAGAATTATGTTCTTAAGATATACTTTTCGTATTCATCAGAAAGGAAAGAAATACTTCTCATTTTTCTGTTCTCATTTCTGAATATAAAAAATTCGCCAATTACTGGCTTGCTTCAGCTAGAATTTTAAATTGAAAAAACAAAAAAAAATTCTGAAATCACAGAAGTTTAAAAGATAATCCGCTCTAGAAATGATGCTTTTTTCTTTCATTTTTTGAAAGAACACCATAATTTTTAAAGAACAGGATAAAAAAAATTTCATATCTTAAAAAAATATGACTATGAGTGGGAATTTTGTTACAAATTCAGATATTCTGAACATCGGAACACTGTGAAATGGGGGGTAAATTCCATTTTAAAAATTAGATTTTTCAATAACCTAATAAATCCATGACTTTCCATGATTTCTTTAAAAAAAATAAATAATTGTTAAAATCATGAAAAATTTTGCTCAATACCAAAATTTATGACTTCTCATTATTTTTCATGACTTTTCAAGTGCGCAGATACCCTGTCAAATAAGAAAACACGAATAAATATTGAAACAAAAAACACTAACAAAACAAATAAATAGATTCAAAATGTTGGTGATTGGTTCTTATTTTGCCTCTTTTTGACAATTGCTGAAAGAGATTGACAACCTCATGTTACAGTCAGAGTGTGCTAAAAACGGTGTAAACAGCGATTTAGTTTTAAAGTTAAATTAGAAAAAAAAAGTTATTTAAAAAAAAAAAACTAAGTGTCTCAAACAAACAAACCTCTTGTTTTTAAAGTAAATTTTTATGATACGAAATTAAATTCAAACAAAAAACATAATTGTTTATTTATTTAAAATACTTCTATCATTTATTAATTGGTAAATCTGCTTTTTGCACATAATTACATCAGTAGGAGTAATTTTTATTAAAACTCAATTTAATTCATCGGTTCTGTTTTCATGATGCCAACGTAAATGGCATTTTCACACCAAGAAAAAGACAGTGAGTAAAGTAAAAACCGAAAAATCGCGTACCTTTGATAAGTCGACGGAAGTAACCTCTCAGGACGACCAACCTCCATTTTATTGTGGAACAGAGAGTGGTCGTTACCGAGAGGTTTCACTGAAATAAAAGGCTAAAACAAATCATATACCCTGATAAATAAAAGAAATAAATGTATATCAGTGTTTCAGAGATATAATTTATAAGTTAAATGTAAGAAATGTAGTCATCTAAACACTATGCACTAAAACCATCTTAAAAGTTAAGATCAGATGGTAAAATGAAATGATTATATTGACATGAAGGTTCGACACGCCACTTCGAGTCCCTATTTAAGTATAAATTGTGGAGGAAATTTTTTTTTGAATATTTTTTCACACTGCATTCACACGCAAAATCAGTAATACAGCTTTTTAAAGTAAGTTCACAGATACAGTAAGCATACACACATGCATCAAACTTTAATGCAAAACCCACTCACTAACGTGCAATGGATGCCATGGATCTTCTTTTCAATCTTCTATTAGCCTACTAGATACATAAAGATATTCAGATCTAATAGCTAAAACTTTTGACTAGGCACTTGATTTTTTTTTCAATACTTTTTTTTTATTTTTTCGATCCCCATGGCCCAAAATGAATTTATTTGAAAACTATTCTTTGCGGGGTCTTCGTCGTCTGGGAAAATCTCCAGAGGCAGAAGCATCCTGTTCAAATAAAAAGTATAAAAATAAACACAAATGAATTTTGGCACAACATAAGAATCAGTATTTTGTTTCTAAGCAAGAATAAAAAAATTTAAGTTTCTATTTTATTATCTCTTTCTTACTTAATGCAAAAAAAAAAAAAAAAAAAAAAAAAGATTTTTGCATAAACTAAAAGCAATGCAATGCATGTTATTTTTATTTACTACAATAAAATATTTACCATCACTGATGAGATTTGCATTTTCTGGTTAAATGAACTGTTTTCTGTTAAAATATCTGTATGATTCATAAGATATTATAAATATGCTCACATTAATACACTCATGCAATTGAATTAGAACAAAATTTATATTATTTAAAGGAAAAAATTAAGGAAAATAATGGTACATAATTACATTAGTATCTCATACATTTTTAGAGTTCAGAAGTGTTTTGAAATATAAATCGAAAAGTTGACAATGAAAAATGGAAAAATAAAGGTGCGAAACAAAGCTAGGAAAAACCACAATAGAGAGAGAAAAAAAGATGAACAGAAAAAAAAAAAAAAAAAAANAAAAAAAAAAAAAAAAAAAAAAAAAAAAAAAAAAAAAAAAAACTGCAGTGGCTGATAGGGGCAAATCAGGGAAAATGCATTGGAATCAGCATTCAACAAGACAAGATTCTAGGGCATCAAGATGAGCTGGTGTGACGAGGGTGGAAATAATTTTGGCATTGTAAAACTGAATTTATGCTTAAGATTCCAACAATGTGCAATTATTTTTGTATTCTTGATAAAGTAAACATCTGCTGCCTTGCTGCAAGTGAATTGTTATTTCAAATTCGTATATATTTTTAAAGCGAATGAAGTTCTAATGTAATTAGTACTTTTTCATAAATTTTTATTCTTCCAGAAAACAAATATAAGCTTGTGCAATTATTTCCTTTATTTTTTTTCTTTTTCTAATTAAGAGACTTTAAAAAAAATTTTTATATCAATATTTGCACTCAATCTCTAAAGAAAAAAGACAATAAAAAGGATAAAAAATAGTTTGTAGAGCAAGATATGATGAAGTTTTGTCATACCAAGAAACGTCAAAAAAAGCAGTATTTAGATTTCAGATCATTTTGTCTATTTGTGTGAATTCAGATATTTCTCTGCCATCACATTCCTTTTTTGAATTACTTCCCTTCTAAAGAAAGTTAGCTTTGTTCTGACAGACAATAGGTAAGGTTGCCTGGCTTAAGATCTGTTGTTTGTATCGTGATTTTCTATTTTGTGATAAAAGTTTATTTCGGAGTTTTTTCAATAAGTCCGTATCAATCGAGCCATAGTTATTATCCTTGTGGCAGAGTTATTATCCTTGAGCTTTCTGCGACAAACTTTCCTAGCATCAATATTTTTCTTTAAGATACTTTTAATTATAACAATTACTAGTTTAAAGTAACAGAAACGTTGTGTTCACAGAAGAGTAATATTTTTTAAATTCTAATATTATAGGCAATATTCTCGCATTTTGTAGGCGGAAGAATGCACTTATTATTTCCTCTTCGAATTTTGTAAATCATTCCCCATATTAAAAATTGCAAAATCCGTTCAGTAATTCCTAAAATAAAGATTGCAAATCATGAGAATAGGTGTCTTTAAAAAAGAGATACTCAGATGTAAAAATGTATATAAATGTGTAATAAATGTAAAATGCGGTGTTCTTTAAAGGAAAAAGAACATCATTTCTAGAGTGAACTATCTTTTAAACTTTTGCAATTTCTGAATTTTTTATTTTATATTATTAATTCGAAATTCAAGCTGAAGCCAGTCATTTCTGATTTTTTTAAAAATCTCAAATCTGAATAGAAAAATCATGATTATTTCTTCCCTCTCTGATGCACAAGAAAGACATCTTTGAAAAAGTGCAGTGCATCAAAAAGTGGTCATTCAATTGCGCTATTCAAATTTCGTGTCATAGTAATATCAGAATTTTAAAAACTACCAGAAAATTAATTGCCTTAGTTTCAAAAGAGGAAAAGATCGAATCATGGATTTACGCGTTTCATATATTTCAGTGATAATAACTTCATCTAAAAGCCATTTCGTTCGGGGCCATTTCATTGACAGGGTCAATTTGTAGACAAAGTCATACGTAATGTTGAAACTATTTTTTATCATTTGTTGGATTATGCGTTATGCTACTTTCACTTCTTCAAAATGTAGCATATTTGTGTTGAAATTTTTTAAACCTAGCCAGAAGCAAAATTTTTATGGTATGCTGTAATTGCCAGAAAATAAGCATTGCCTCTTCCCCAGGCATCACAATATTAAATTTCTTTTCAATAATTAAAACTGTATTTTTGCTTTCTATGTAAAATTTAAGTTTTTTTTTCGAAATTGTAAAAAATAAATGATAATAATAAAAACTCCATTATTTTACTATTTTCATATACTTTAGAAGTCTGCAAATGTCCCATACATAACAGAAGAATAGCTCTATAAAACATAATAACAAAACATTTCAGAAACATAAATGTAAAATTTCATTATCTAGCATATAATTACCTGTTCTTCTAATAGTTCTTCTTCGTCACTATTTTCTTTATCATCTTTTTTCGTACTATCATCATCTTCTTTTTCTTTCCTCTCATTTTCTTCATTATCAAGCAATTCCACTTCTTCCTCGGGTGGTTCTTCCACCTCTTCCTCTTCTTCTTCCTCCTCCTTTACCTCCGTAATCGTAGCCTCTTTTGGAACTTCTCTCATCTTTTCATCTGCCGGGCCCTCCTTACCGGCATACATTTTGCGTTTATTCTCCAATTCCTGGTAACATACAAACTTTAATCATAAACAAAATACAAACAAGCAATATAAATTTTTTTAGCTACTTTTTATTAAATTATTAAAATTTCTTTCTCAAATATAAAACTAAAATTAATTAATTAATCTTAATGAATGTATTAATTTGAAAAAAAAAAAAAACTGTATTAACATCAAAAATCATCCACTACAAGTATAAAAAATGTATTTGAACTTGAATGGATGAATAAAAAAGTATTTTATTAATGATTGAAAATTTGAACAAAACATAGAGAGAGTGTGAACTAATAGTAGGAATAAAATAAAAAAAAATAAAAAATGTGTGGTATTAGAAAACTCTAAAAGTATAAATTCGGTGATGTGGACCAACATGCTACCACGTAATGTTCTTTATTGAACTGATCCGACACAGTGAATATAAAATTATTAAATATTTAAATGTGCGCAATAAACTATTTCTTTTTCGCTCAAATAAAGCTTTAAATAAGAAACCATCACTGATGCTATCTTTAAAATATGTGAAAAATTGAATCGCTTATAGTAAAATTTAAAACAATGACTAACGCTTAACACATTGGAAAATTTGTTTTTCACGCATCTCCATTTAATGAATGAATTAAAAATCTTTATTAATATCAAGAACCATCCATTACAAGTTTAAATAAAATGTATTTGTACTTGAGTGAATGAATAAAAACTATTTTATTAACACTTGAAAATTAATCGAGAGAGAATTAAATAAAAAAAGACATAGGCTTTTATTAATTTAGATTCTAGAAAAGTTTATTTTCTTTCCATTTAAAATTTTCCAAAAATATTATGGATAATTTGAAGAATATTTTAAAGCTACCAAACATTTGATAAAAAAAAGTACTTCAGCAACTGATTGTTAGATTTATTCAAAACATTAGTTTGAACCTGTAAAATGTTGAAAGTTAGAGAGAATAAATTTAATTTATTTATTATTATTTAAAACTTTTTTTTTGCTTAGAAAAGTTTTAGTAAGTTCTTGAAATATGAGTGGTTGAAGTATGAGAGGGGAACTTGTTGAAGATGCTACTTTAAGAAGAATTACATATTTAACGTTGCAGGGGTAGCAGCAAAGTTTTTTAAAATTTTAGGGGTAATATATGATTTTGCTAGGTTAAAAACAGATCACATGGTAGTTTATTACATTACAGAAGATTATTACAATTCATCCACACATATCATGTATCATTGCAAGCCATAAAATAAAGCTCTGAAATTTATTAAGTCAAGAATGAAATCTCTAAAGTGTAAAAATGAAATTTCAACTTTACATATTACCTATCAGAAATTAAGTGCATAATTCAGGAACAGGCAAAAGTGAGAATAAATCAAGAGAAAAAATAAATTAACACCAACTTGGATTTTTATTTAATTTTTACCTTCTTAATCAAAACTTTATTATTACCTTACTTTATTAAGAAAAACTATTGTGTGATATTATTAGATTTCAAATCAGCAATTTATATTAGAAGTTAGAGAAAAACAAATTAATCATGATCATTTTTCTAAAATATTCTTGATATGATTTGTGAGATTCTTTTACTGCCCTCAATAGTGTTGTGGTGATCTTCAACACTCCTCCATAATTTCGAATGGTATCTTTGATTAGTCTAAG